CACCTCTTATGGTTTATAGGGAATTAGAAGACTATTGAAAGTATTGTGACCAACAGCCACTTAAGCTGAAATGGCCATTCTCATTGGAGATTGCAGTGGAGGTGTCGACTCAGAGGAGCCCTTCTGGAGGATGAAGGGTTTTACTTGCTGTGTTTAGGTTGCTTGGTAGCAAGAACCAGATCAGTTCAAACAGAAGAGAAAGAGGGAAGAGAAACAAGCATCTTTAACAAATGTTCACCAATGTCAGCTAAATTTCTTGTTCAGATTCATTTCATATCATGAGAAGAATTGGGTAGCAAAAATTGTTCTCTCAGTCCACCATCACTTTGTTGGTGTCACCGTTCTCTGCATCTATCTGTGGACTCCACTTACTCCATCGTGTCAAGACAGTGACTTATCTTCCATTTGAGGTCCTTTTGCATTCTTACCTGACTTGCTCTCACACATTTTTTCTGTTGCTGCTGCTGTTCAACAAAATCCAGCAAAGTAACTCACCCAACTTGCATCAGCATGGTTCAACTGACTATACAGCAGTTGATGGGCAGGCATGAAGTTTAAGAGCACAGCATGTGCCTAAACCTGTCTACCCTCTGTCCATGTGCTGACTTGCAGACAGCCTGTGAACTGCGGGTGTCGGTGCTGTGAAAGCTTTTGTATGAGAGTGGAGGGCCAGACAAATTGTTTAAATGAACCATTAAAGGCAGGTTCTTCAAGATGGGATTGTGGTGCATTGACAGGGTGGTGGTGAGGAAGCATATGTTAAGTGTTACCGTTCTGTTCTGAGGTTAGTGTGTTTGTCATCAAGTTCTGTTTTATCTTAACTTTTCTAAGATGCCGATAAGAAATAATATCCAACTTCTTTGCTGCCACTGAATTCACACCCACGCCAACTCTACTGCCACCCTAAAACATCACAGTCTCAATTAAAATATATTTCTGGAAGAGTTCAGTGATTAAAAAAAAAAAAGTATTTTCCCTAAAAATGAGAGCTCATAGTTCGTTCCAAACAAATTAATAGGTGCATTTTTCAGTTTGATGGTGCATAAGCATAGGAAGAAAACAAAATTCAGGTTTAATCTTATGTCGTACTTCATTATTGAAAGCTGTTATTGCCTGGAGAGACGAGCACAGAGTGTGGGTAATGAAAACAAATTTTATAAATACCATTGCAGTTGTAGCTGTACTGAAACATACGTTGTCATCACAATCTCATCTGTTCAGTATGTGTTTAAACTGGAGCAAACTCCTCGCTAACTTACACTGGGAGTTAAGAGATTTGCAGATGGTGTGAATCACCAGGAATGTGCAGTATTTTTGTAAACCTTTAGTTTTATTAGGTGGATAACACCCTCAAGTACACTTCTATCAACAGACAGAACTGTGGCTAGGGCAGTGGCAGAACAAACTTCGTGCAGTGTTTTGCAATGTGGAATTACAGGGAAAGTTCCCCAAGTCAGAAGGTAGTTCAATATCCATTGCCTATTCAATCCCTGGCCCCTTTCTGCAGTAATTGTTAATGTAATGTAGTAGTTTATTGCTAAACACAATGTATTTTTTTTCTGATATATCTTTGCAAATGAACAGAGAACTTTTTTTTCTTGGAGTTTGTAAATAAATACCAAATGGTCCTTATTCTATTCTAGGAAGCTGTGTCCCATATTAATAATTACTAATAGAAATAAATTACTTCTCTGTGTAAGATCACACCTGGATGTTCCAGAGCATTCAGCAGCTCTGATCGGTTGATGTATGGGAAGCAGGTAGCTGTACTACATCCAGCTGAAGTAGAAACGGGCAGAAGATTGTTTCTCTGGAGTATGGCCAGAACGCTGCACCTCCTGTGAAAGCATGGTCAAATACTTAATGGAAGCAAGTAGTTATTTGCTTTTTTGTAGGGCAAAATGACAACTCCGTTCACGCATGCCCATGGGCATTAAACTGCTACAGGAGGCTAGTTATAATTGAAAGAGGAAGATGTCTCCTAATTAATTATGTAAACCACGCTGCAGCACAACCCAGCCTTTTTTTCAATAATACATTATAATTTGCTGCACAGTTATGTTGAATATTGAGAGTAACCACCAATCTTAAGAAGCTGCAGCTTTGTTTCCATTGTTTCTCATTAGCAGTTTTACAATTAGGACACACAGCATTGTGAGATTTTAAATAAAAACAACACAAAACCCCATGCTCCCCCAAAACTTCAGGAGTTTCTTTATATTCCTTCTAATTGTGAGCATGCCTAATGTTATGTTTTCACGCTTTTCACTGTGACTAAGAAATAGGAATGTGCTTTTTTTTAAATTAAAATAGTTATCTTCATGTCATCACTGGATTTCTATTCCTGAGGATTTAACAAAATACAAACTTGTATGGAACTTTTAGGAAATAAAATAGTAAGAATTGAGGAGGAGTTATTTCTGTCAGCCTCCTTCCAATGAGACACTGAAATTTTTACTGAAGAAACTTTAAAGGCTTGTCTCTGGGACTAATGTATTTACACTTACTAATTCCATGAAAACAATGTGCTTAATACTGTCCGATTTGTTTCAGTGCACTTACATATAATGCAAACATAACATAAAATAAATTGCATGCCAGCAAATAAAGAGTAGGTTTTTGACTACAGAGTTGGGAATGCTGAATAAAAAAAGAAAAAGCAAAAAAATGAGGAAATCTGTATGTGTAGTATATTTGAGACTTATCTCTTTTCCAAGCTGGCATTTAGGATTTCCTCAAGACTTAGCTGCATTAGTTAAGGCTATCTCAACAGAAACCTGCTATAATGGTTCTATTTTTCAGAGCGACCTAGTTCTTTATCTAAACACGATTCAAGGTTATCATCTTATCTCTGTGTTCAGTGAATCTTTAGAGGCTTTCCTGGACTTCTTGAAGGGGGTCCATCTTATGATTCCAGTGTTAGGGCTCCTCATGGTGATGTCTCAGACCAGTCTTTCCTCACAGCATGAGCTGGATCTTGTACTGGCTTTCATTTCATGATTTTCTCAAACTCCAGCGTGCTGTTAGTGACTACCAAAAGGAAGAGCACAGCACATTCACTCTTCCCCTGTCCTCCGTTCCCCAAGGAAATTTCAGCTCGTCTCTACAACAGAAAAAACGCTGTAACCACTGTACATTATTAAAAACAGTTGTCACTCAAAGCTTTTAGCAGTTTTCTATCTTAAAGCTACATTGTAAGTACTAGTGCAGTGAGGCAAAGAGAATTTCAGGGAGATGTGTGGGATCCCAAAGTAAATCAGTGGCATAGCTATGAACAGAGGCAGCTCTCTTACCAGTTATAGAGCCATCCTTCCCCCTTTCTGTCAGTGCTGTCAGTGCCGACGTGATACCCAATTGCAAACAGAAGTGTGTGTGTCTGACTCGCATGGTTGTTACCCTCTTAACAGTTGGCCCAGCTTGAGAATATGAAGACCTGTTCAAGAAGTATTAAGCATAGAGATGTCATGAGCCTTACTGTTCACAATTCTACTCTGATCCTCTCACAGTTTCTATTATTTGCTCTTTCACCTTAGCCTAAACATCTGTTACAGACCTAATTCCGAACTTGTAGAGATACTGCATCCGTGGGGAGAAATGCTTCACTTATAATCATGCTTTATAGTTCCCTTTGTGGTTTGTTCTGGCACTTTGACTTGTCATAGTTGAATAAATTGAATTCTGCAGAGTGCTCGTGTAAAATGCCAGACTTATCGTTTTAAATGTGCTTCAGTGTGATGAATGCAGCGTTAGAGTGGGATGTGGAGTAGTGCTTAGATTTGTGGATTGTAGCTCTAGGTTTTATTCTCAAGCCTCTCACCAGACTATTATATGAATCATGGATAGGCCATTTTCAGGATTTCTGCTCCTGCATGGCATATCTGTAAAATGAATGTGCTTTACCTATACAGCAGGTCTGTGTTGACACCCAGTTGGTTACTTTTTGGACAGCTATGCAGCAAGCATACTCTAACATGTCACAGAGTGGTTGTTGCACTCGTATACTAATTAACAAACTGCTACCTTTCACTTATGTCGTATTTTTGTTGAGAACAAATACTTTCCTGGGTTGTAAATTGTGTAAAAAGGAGTCACTGTTTTAATGTCTATATATGTGGTGCCTGTCATAGTGAGCTTTCATTCCTTGGGTGAAGCAAGCAGAAGAAAACTTTTTACTAGAATGCAAACATAAAATGAAGTTAACAGCATGCTTTGAGATCTTTGAATGAAATTTAGTGGGGGTTATTACAGCTGTTTTCTTTCCAATAAAACATTATCAAAAATTATTATTTTTTGGGGTATTTTTATCTGCTGTACTTTAAAAGCAGGCAGTAATTACCAGTGTGTCTCAATCCATCAGTTAATGAAGGAAACTAAAGGACACAAGCAGAAGACATCTCTCCATTAATGAGGTCTGAAGTAAGGTTCTAAAACCTGACAGAATTTAGGAAGGGCATGTTTTGCTCTAGAGTGGTTTACCTTTTGAGGAGTTTGCTTGATAATGAATAGCGGCTTAATAATTAAGCTGATACTAATCCAGAATTAATATCTGAAGTGGGGTTAACAACTAATAAAAAGGGACTGTTGTGTATGTATGAAACCTGGAATAGCATATCCGATGCACCTCTGTGTTTTAGGCAGCTAATGACTTTTTCCATCAAGTCTAGAGATGTATTCTTTTGTGAAATGGTTTTATGTCATTTGGAAGTGTGAGAAAAGAATTCTAGCTGATATGAGGGAAGAAATCTGGAAAGCAACAATGCTGAAAAGGCTATAGATAGGATTTTACAGAGTGACAGATTAGTGGATTCCAGGTGTTGTATGCAGGATTATCCCATGTTTTGTTTTAACTATTTAGTTGTGAAAGGAGTGTGTCAGGGAAGCTAGTTTCCCATGTTTTCTCTGGAAAGGGAGGAAGGGAGGTGATGCATAACTAGTCCATAAAGGAAAAATAAGTGTTTGAATGAGCATTTATTACAATATTTGAAAAAAATGTTTTTCAGATAATCGCCTTTGATGAACTTCGGACAGACTTCAAAAGCCCAATAGATCAGTGCAACCCAGTCCACGCAGTGAGTACAACCAGTGGCTTGCTAAGCAGCAGCTACTAAAGAAAGGGAGATGCACTGAGCTGTCAGTGAAAGTATGAGTGCAGAAATGAATGTAGAGTCTTTTGTGAAAGCTGATTTATTGGGCCAGTCTTAGGAAGCCAGATGGCAACTCTGTATGCTAATAAATTTCCTTTTTGCTGAAGGAGGCAGGAAAAAAATTTGGAAGTTCAAAAACTGAAGGATATATATTGCAATGGTAATGCTTTATTTTTATCTTTTTATTCTATGGCATAGGTTTTCCTTTTTGAAATAATTTGCTTTCTCTGCCTTCAAGCATGGGATGACCACCTTCTCCCATACTGTTTGTATCAGTGAGTCAAAAGCGTGAAGGGATTTGACAAGAGGTGCATTCCAAGACCTCTCTGTCCCATGGCAGGGCTGTAAATTCTCCCATGATGTAAGAGTAAATAACACATTCTGCTGCATCTGCTGTGGAAAAGGTTGAATATCACCCTGGGACTGTAAACTCAGTTTTATCTAATGAACCAAAATGCAACCCAGATTTAAGCATATGAAAATTCCTCTCTTAATTAGAGAGAATCTAGGGTGATTTAGCTGACTACAGTTAAACATGCATCAGATTTGTACCACCAGAACTGAGAGCAGAACTTGGCTCCCCGTCATCTGGCTGGGAATTACAATGAATATGACAGATGCTGAATTTGATCTCTACAGAGTATCAAGTTATTGAATTGTTTGCAAATGATAACCAGATTCAGTAGCTAGTACTTTGCCATTTAACCTTGTTTCATAACTCAGTAGAGGATTTGCAGTACTGCTTAGACCACTGATGATTTTTAAATGTAATCTTTATGTGAATCTTCGAATAAGATTTGTTTACTGTTCACTAACATATAAGCAAAGAGTGAGAACAGAAGAAAAAAATTACATTAAGAAGTCATCTAGAGGACTTCAATGGAAGTAATCTGATTTTGAATTCACTTTATCTGTTTTTACTTCCCATCTTGAGAAATTCATACCAAAAAAAGTGTATTTATATGTACCAAATCCCAGTAATTTGTTCTCTTCCTAAAACTTGTAAGATGCTCTGTGGAGATAATTTCCTCTGATTGTAAGATGGTAATGGAATTGGTCTCTAGGATAAAAAAAGTTAGTAAGTCCTTGTTTCAATCATATTAATGGTGTTATCAAAAAGTTAATCATAGAATTTCCAGTAAAACACAGCAAAGTATTCTGTGATCAGTTGACATATTTGACTATGAAACTCTGTGATAACTCAAGCAAAAATCTCAGATTGCTTTTTTCTGCACAGTAAAAGTGTTGATGCCTTTTATATTGACATAAAAGGAAGATTTTTAGCAGGTATTTCTTATATCTTTGGTTAAATGTATTTTCCTTTTTCTCCTATGCATAGTTGCTCCTGCCTATATTCCGTTTATGTGGTGGTGTAGTTTTCTTTATAAAATTGTCTGATATTTACTCATGTCTTTTCCACAATGTTTTCATGACAGAGGGCAGAGCCTTTTTGACAAGAGAAGGCTGTATTAAGGAGAAATCGGAGGCAAAACTGATGGCAATACTGAGAGTTTAATTCAAATTTCCTGGTTCACACTCTATTACCTACAGTTCAAAGACAGACTTCCTGCTTCTCCAAGGCCAGCTGCAGTTAGGCATCTGTATTCTAAAGGGAATTGAGAGAATTATCTTTCCCCCTCCACTTACCTCCTACTAAAGACAAGAAAGATTTTTGCAGCTTCACAGGCACATCCACACATGTCCATTCTCGTGTTTGCAGCCATGAGTTTAAAATTCCTGAATTTCTTTTAGATCACAGACACGAGAGAGAGGCATAATATTTGTCTGGTGCCTATCAAGCTACCACTGTCTCATTGTCTTTCCAAAATAATACTTCTTAAAAAAAATGGCTTAAACATGGGGACAGGAAAAGAAAGGGGACATTTCTTTGGAGAATAGAAATAAAACTCAAACTTGGAGCAAATTGAAAACATTTGAAAAGCAAAAAGCTTAGGGGAGAGTTGGCTTCTCACATCGGTAGATTACATTACCTCTTTAAAAAAGATGGTTGTTCAGAATATTTTTCCCATGTCCAAATGAAAATGTTACCAGGTAGTCTTCTGAGGACAACAAAACCCCTCTCCCTTCTTCAGCTTCAGTAGAAGCTTTCACAGTAACTCCAGTGATGGGGTTATGCAGAGCAAAATCTGTGTTACTAGTGAATTTCACATTAGGAGCCGTTATAAAGAAACCTGTCTTTGACTTGTCTTCTTTCTGCGGATCAAGCTTAGACCATCTTTTGAGTCACAGTGCTTAATTACAGTGACTTTCAGTATTTATGAATGCGTCAGCATGGATTCACCAAGGGGAAATCATGCCTGACCAATCTGATAGCTTTCTATGATGGTATGACTGGCTGGGTAGATGAAGGGAGAGCCATGGATGTTGTCTACCTAGACTTCAGCAAGGCTTTCGACACGGTCTCCCATAACATCCTCCTAGGGAAGCTCAGGAAATGTGGGCTGGATGAATGGTCGGTGAGATGGATTGAGAACTGGCTGAATGGCAGAACGCAGAGGGTTGTCGTCAGCGGCACTGAGTCTAGTTGGAGGCCAGTAGCTAGTGGTGTCCCCCAGGGGTCAGTACTGGGCCCATTCTTGTTCAACTTCTTCATCAACGGCCTGGGTGAAGAGTTAGAGTGTACCCTCAGCAAGTTTGCTGATGACACCAAACTGGGAGGTGTGGTAGATACACCAGAAGGCTGTGCTGCCATTCAGCGTGACCTGGACAGGCTGGAAAGTTGGGCAGAGAGGAACCTGATGAGGTTCAACAAAGGCAAATGCAGGGTCCTGCACCTGGGGAGGAACAACCCCATGCATCAGTACAGGCTTGGGG